GGCCAGTTCTTTTCTAACTTCATTATTTCCCATTATTTAGTTACCATTTCTCCGAATCCACTGTAAGCTCTCCTCAGATCCCTGTGGTTGTGGTAATCAGACTGTAACAGGATGCCTGGCACGTGCAGATCACAGTAGCTTTGTGAACTACAGCTATATAGTTCTAAAGAATCCTGGGTGTGTGGTACCTAGAACCAGCTACACAATTTACTGAACTCTTTCTGCAGAAATTATTAAGAAATTCAAGGGGACAGTGACAGAGCGTTAAACCAAATGTACAGCACCTGTGCACTTGCACGTGTTGTACTTTGAAGCCAGCTTGGATGGGTCGAATTCATTTGTCAGAACCGCTTATTTTCTCTAGGATTACTATGACATCATCCTGTGAGCTTATTGTTTTCATATATGATGGAAGTTATTATTTTCTATTCTCTTGATATTGGTGAGTTGAGACTCTTCCTGGGACTTTTATTTTATTGTTGTTGAGAATATGCACAGGGTCTACGTGCACCGCTCAGTGACCGTGATTATGTTCTGTGAGTAATTTCTCCCTCCATTCTGACTGGTCCCTTCTCTGTTAATTCACTCACTGACCCCGAAGGTTCCCGTCGAATATTTCTAGCTGATGATGTCACTGTGATCCCATATAAATAGTTCTTCAAAGAGAATAATTCTGAACACAGACCTTTTTTTCTCTCCCAGTAAAACTGTTCGGTTTTAAGACCACTTCAAGGGCGATTTGTGGTTTAAAGATGGAAAGATTGTCTCAGGGCAGTAGTGTCAAGAGTTCCCAAGATTTCTTGAGGAGGAATGCTAGAAAATTTAGAAATATGTAGTATGTGTTCTATTTGGTTGTATAATGTTTAGATCGCATGAACCAAGCAACCTAGTTGAGTTCAAAAGAATGGTATTTGTTCAGTGTCCACCATATAACTGGATTTAGCTTAAATACGTAAGGATATAACCTGATACTTATATATGTGTTTTATGTGTAAATTAACTAGCTTTTCACTATATCTAGGTTTTGAAACCTGAATAATATTCAGTGATTATTTGAATATTGTTGATGAAGGTAAAAATATTCAATTAAAGTATTTGAAGACAAGCCTACTTTAAAAACAAAACAAAAACAAAAACCAGTCTAGCCAATAGTATGCCCAAATATTCAAGCATAACTAACTGTTACTTTCTGCCTTTTCATAAATTTTTCGATACTTCTCAGGTGTACGCAGTTGTGATTCTGTTTCATGATGTATGGAAAAAAGCTATACTATAGCTGTCTTAGTCACATAAATCCCTATATTGATACTAACCTTTCAAATATTTAGTTGAAGTATTTAATGCTTTATTGAAATCTTACTAGGCAAGAAATACTTGTACACTAAACCTAATTCATTTTTTTCATGCATTGATTTTTATTTAATTTCTAAACGGTGGCATTAGCGTGGTTTGGTTTTGTTTTTAATACAGGGGTAGTATTTTCAGGGGGAAATTGGATTTTTGAACAATGATACCTTTTGGCTGGGTCTTTGACTTTTTGCATTTGTATTTGTTAAGATATATTTCAAGAAATGACTCTGTTTTTCTTTTTTTGAAAAAATACTTCAGCATGATGCTAGTTCCTGTTTTGTGGTATTAGTTAAAATTTTACCACTAAAAGGATTCAATTTTTCATTTCCTTTTTGCTGTTCATTCTCTTTTTAAAGCAATAGCCAACAGTGCCACCATCAGAACTGACAGGTTTTCTCTTCGTGGTCTGTTTGGTTACTTTTTTATGAATCCCTACTATTTTGAGTACTGAATGAAAACTGCGTATGGATAATAACACTTAAAGTAGTGAGAGATTCTAATGACACTGAGACTGCCTTTTAATTTATTTTATGACCAAATGGTATTCATACAGCTATCCTTCAGAGACCTGTGACTAAGTTGGATACTTTTGTTTTCCTGCCATTCCATCTAGCTAGCAGTATGCTGATGTGAGTTTATTGTCATCATCTTCAATTTGTCGTTATAAGAGGTAGTTCTAAAAAGAATACCAAAAAATCCTGAAAATAATCAGGCCATCTCACTCTGGTAGCATCTTTTCTACTGTGCGATTTGAGGACAACCTTTTCCTTTATATTTCATTTATTTGTTAATCATGGATCTTAAAATATAAACTGCCAAGTTAATTATAATTAGGATGATTTTGGAATATATATTGAAGCACAGAATTTTCCTTCCCCAGTCTGATACTTACATGGTCTGGTTTATTTATCTTTGGATGAAAAGAAACCTGGTCCCCATCTTCCTGTTGACATCAAACAGTCCTCTGATATGCTAATCCAGCACTGGGCGAGCACATATGCAAGCTTTATTTGGACCCATTCCAAGTCTGAAAGAGAATTATGTGTAAAGAACTGATTTTGCAGCATTGCCCCCTTAGAAAGAAAACTGATGTTGACACAGTCTCGAATTAAAAGGACAGAATATTGAAACATCATATTGGAGGATTTCAACATTTTAGTAGTGTAGTCTCCTGATTTGCTGCTTAATTACCTGGCCATCTAATTGTTATTTGTTCTTTGGTAGGTTCTATGGTAATGATGTGATAGCCAGTGAAATTACTAAATTCATTTCCATGGTATGTCATGTAGTTAGATGAACCAGTTGTTATTAGCTTTTCCTTAAAGGTTTATCCTGTGGAAGAGTGAGTGTTTATGAGACCGTGGATAAAGTGTCTCGCAGAGTCTGAAGTAGGGATATTAGCAGGTTTCCTTGTACTGTTTCTCTCCGTCTGCCCTGAACCGGTCACAGGAGTAATGATTGACAGAGGTGGTGGTTTGAAATTAGGTGGTGGTGTTTCTGCAGGAACCAAAATCAAATTACTTGGGCTTCTGAATTTCAGTCAGATATCCAAATAAAATGCGTATAGTATACATGTTTACATTTGGCTAGCTATATTTTCTATAAATATTTGATTATGGAAAATTTTATGAAACTTTGTTTAAATACACTATCTCGTATTGCTTATTTCTGAGGATTACGAAATAGAAAACCAATAGCATTTTTGTACTTGAAAAATGATTTTTGCATAATGAGTCTTAGGTATACAGCTTAGGAAGCAAATGTGAGCTCTGGTCTTGAACGAGTTTATTATTGGTGTAGTATCCCAGCAAATGTAATATACAAAATGGACAAAAATATTTGTACCAATGGTTTTTCAAATGAGTGAATGCCCTCATGTATGAGGATTTATTCCAACCTCCCTAGATTGATGAGTAACTAACTGAGCTTTTTTTAAAAATACTTTTATTGGGGGCTCTTACATTTCTTATCACAATCCATATTCCTCAAATATGTCAAGCACATTTGCACATCTACCACCATCCTTTTCAAAGCATTCTCTTCCCACTTGAGCCCCTGACATCAGCCCCCCATTTCTTCCCCTTCCCTCCCCC